GTGTGTGTGTGTGTGTGTGTGTGTGTGTGTGTGTGTGTGTGTGTGTGTGTGAGTGGTCTTGATATCAGGATGTTTGCAGCAGCAGCTCCTCAGTCAGACGTGATTTAAAGAGTTTATGTTTCAGAACCTGTTTACAGTAACGTGACTCATTATTGGGAGTGCTGCTGCTGCTCTGTGAAAATTTTTATTTATAAACTCAACTTTGTAAATCTTAACATATGGGGTTTTCCTCTGCAGGGGGAAGACGGTTTGCTGGGACCCCCAGGACAACCAGGACGTAAAGGGAACCGGGGTCGAGCGGTGAGTGCAGGTCCAGAGACCCCTCAGGATGGTTGTAGGGGGTATTTGTTGTGTTTTAATGATTTGGGTGAATGCAGGGTAACTCAGGACTGAAGGGAGGATCTGGACTCCCTGGAGATCCAGGATATCCAGGTCACAGGGTGAGTACTGGACCGGGTCTGTGTGCATGTCTATAAAACCTGCTCGTTTTTGTTATCCTGAGGTAAACGTTCAGAAACATGTGAGTCAAAAAAAACATGATGAGGACTCTGTTTTCTTCTTCTCAGGGTCCTCCAGGACGTCCTGGAGAACAGGGCATGACGGTAAGTCCACCTAAGAGAAGTTGTGAGCCGTCAGGCTGCAGATGTTTCACCTGTGCTGTTCTGTGTTTCAGGAGTGTCAGCTGGTCTCCTACATCAGAGACAACTGTGGTAGGTTGTCCACACGCTCCTCAGAACACCAGGAGGAAAAACCTGGCGGTCTCTAAATCCAGCTTTTTCTCTCCTCACAGCTTGTTCTGCAGGTGAGGTCAGCGACCCGCTGAGACCCAGCGGCACCAGATCCTCTTCAGGTTCTGAGACCCTGCTGGTTGTTATCAACACCTGGACCACTTCCTGTCTGTCTGTGTCTCCTTCCTGTCCTCTCTGACCCCTCAGCAAGTCTAGACAGATAGCTGTCCACCCTGAGCCTGGTTCTGGTTCTGCTGGGGGTAACTTCCTGTTAAAAGGGAGTTGTTTCTCTCCACAGTCTCCACTCATGAAGACAAACCCAAGCTTGGACAGATTTCACGAAAATCAAACTTCTTTAGTTTTCTGGATCAGAACTTTTGTTTTATGTTCTGCTGAAGACAGGTTTGTTTTTTTCTGGGTTCAGGTCGCTCAGAGTGCCCAGCCTACCCCACAGAGCTGGTCTTCGGTCTGGACATGTCTAACGATGTGACCCCAGTGGCCTTTGAGAGGCAACGGTCCGCCCTTCTCGCTCTGCTGGAGGACATCAGTGTGGCAGAGAGCAACTGTCCGACAGGCGCTCGGGTCGCTGTGGTCGGGTTCAGCTCCCACACCAAGCACCTGATCCGCTTCCAGGACTATCGCCGCAAGTCCCAGCTGGTGGATGCCATCAAGAATATCGCCCCGGAGAGGACATCCAACAAGAGGCACCTGGGCTCGGCCATGCGCTTCGTGGGTCAGAACGTCTTCAAACGGGTGCGAGCAGGGACCATGATGAGGAAGGTGGCCGTTTTCTTCTCTAGTGGAGCTTCTGAAGACGCTGATGACATCGTGACCGCTGTCATGGAGTACCGGGCCCAGAACATCATCCCTGCAGTCATCTCTCTGAGACAAGCCAACAACATCCGCAAGGCTCTGGAGGTAGGTCCAAATCTCCAACTGCCAGTCTGGGTCCTGCTTCTCTTACATTTTTAATGTTAAACTGAAACCTTTTTATGTTTTGTTGTTTAAATTAGTCAAAATGTATCAAATTTAAGATATTTTAACATTGAAGACATGTGGACATTTGAGACAAGTAGGCATGTGGACATGAGACATGTCAATGTGTGACTCAAATAAACTTATAGACATGTAAGACAAGTGGACAGGTTGACATGTGAGGCAAGTGAGCATATGGGCATGTTAATGTGGACATACAGTATAAGCATCTGGACAAACATGTGGACATGTTGGAATGTGGACATACATGTGGACATGATGAAATGTGGACATACAGTATAAACATGGACATGTTGAAAAGTGGACATACAGTATAAATATGGACATGTTAAATGTGGACATACAGTATAAGCATCTGGACAAACATGTGGACATGTTGGAATGTGGACATACATGTGGACATGATGAAATGTGGACATACAGTATAAACATGGACATGTTGAAAAGTGGACATACTGTATAAATGTGGACATGTTAAATGTGGACATACAGTATAAACATGGACATGTTGAAAAGTGGACATACTGTATAAATGTGGACATGTTAAATGTGGACATACAGTATAAACATGGACATGTTGAAAAGTGG